GATTGGATTGATCTGAATCAGGATATGGACCACTGGAGTGCTCTTGTGAACACGGTAATGAATCTTTGGGTTCCATAAATGCTGGGAAGTTCTTGAGTAGCTGCATAACTGGCGGCTTCTCAATAAGGGCTCAGCTCCATGTGTGAGTAAGTGTATATCACAGTACAGAAAGGACGGATGTAAGGCAATAGCGCTGTAGGATACAGCATGTTAACTTCATGTTATGGCGCGGATTTTCAAACCTCATTGCTGATTTAAATGAAGAGAGGTTAGTCTACTTCCAAGAATATAACTGCAGGTGTGAGAAAAATAGAATTAGAAATTTCAGTATCATAATTAAAATCAGGATTGTTAATAATGCAAAGAACATAATTCCGTGAATAGAACCCTTCTTGAGAAGCTGGTAGCCTATGAGCTCGTCAAGAAATTCTCCACCCTTCACGGAACACGATGGTTCATTATCATATTCGTAAGCCCCATCTACTATCTCCTTTCCTGATCTAGTAGAATGAACTTCAAAACATTACACTCTGTTTCTTTGTGCTTCATTTTAATATTATTCACCCATCTACGCTATTGTGATATTTCGTATCACGCTGTTTTTACCCGAACTTGGAAGGCCACACCTTTCCTGTTACCGGTGACTGCTTATTCATTATGTTCGCATCTGCCCTACAAGACAAGACGCCGCCCCCTTCAACCGAAAAGTGAGGACCCTTCAAGCCGCATACTGCGACATTAGCATGGAGTGTGGAATTCTGTCACATGAACACCGTTAGGCCACTTGTTCAAATCACATTTGGGGGAGGGGAATCACGTCAGTACTATTCGCTATTGGGTGAAGGAAACTTCAAGAGGACTCGTTAGAATTACATGAACACTAATACTTTACCACTGCTTGTTTGGAGACAATTCAAAACTAATTGTTTAGAAACACATAAATACTAACTATTTAGAATTACTACAATGTGTACTAATTATTCAGAATTACTTCAATACCATTTCGTTAAAAATACGTCAGTACAGTAAATACAGTTGTAATTAAATTCGGTATGAGCGGTGTACGCATAACGTTAGTTGCGAAATTTGACTTTCAGCCATATTCTTAGCTTACAAACTACATTACATGACGAAATAAGTGAGTTGTCCCATGCATGGTCTAGTATAAACTATGAATTAAATTATTATGAACTAATAATGAACTAAGTCATGAAAAGTAATGAAAATTTCGAGGCAACCAACCCCAGTCACAATAAAGATAGACCAAAAACAACTGGGCCGGTCACGGTAGCCGAGCGGTCTAAGGCATCTACTGTCTTCGCTCGCTTGCAAACCGGGATCGTGGGTTCGAATCCCACTCAGGGCGTGGATGTTTAGTTTGTGTGTGTGCGTTTTTCTGTGTTTGTGGGCAGGTAGAGGCCTTGCGACGAGCTGATCATCCGCCCAAGGAGTCCTACCGAATGTGTGAACGGTGAAGTTCATGGAGGTAGGCCTAGGCCCACTGCGGCTGTAGTGCCAAGGAAGAAAAAAAAAACAACTGGAGAATGTGAAATGTTTTAAATATTTGGGTAGCTTGTTAACAGATGATGCAAGCTTTACTAGTGCAATTAAATCCAGGATTGCCATGGCAAAAGCTGCATTTGGCAAGAAGAAGAATCTTTTTACCAGCAAATTGGACTTAAATTTCAGGAAGAAACTAGTGAATTGCTACATTTGGAGCATTGCTTTGTATGGGGCTGAAACTTTGACACTTAGGGCAGTAGATCAGAAACACCAGGAAAGCTTCGAAATGTGGTGTTGGAGAAGGATGGAGAAGATCAGTTGGACCGATTATGTGAGAAATGAAGAAGTGTTAATTAGAGTCAGTGAGCAGAGGAATATCCTACACGAAATAAGAAAACGGAAGGCTAATTGGATTGGTCATATCTTACGCAGTAACTGCCTTCTAAAATAAGTTATTGAAGGAAAGATAGAGGGGCGAATAGAAGTGACCAGAAGACGAGGAAGAAGACGTAAGAAGATGCTGGATGACCTTGGGGACAGAAGAGGATATTCTCATTTGAAGGAGAAAGCTCTTGATCGCATTAAGTGGAGGAGCTGTTTTGGAAGAGACTGTGAACCTGTCGTCTTGACAGATTACTGATGAATGAATGAATGAATGAACTACATCAAAGACGAAAGCAGGGATAGTACGGTTGGTGATCGGGGTTCGAGTCCCAATAGGGGAAAGAATTTTCATTTCTCCATATTATCAAGACCTGCTCTGGGGTCCGTGGGGTAAAGCTGCCGGGGCGTAAAACTGACCACTCACAATTATTGCCGAGATCAAGAAAATATGAGTTTATAGATCCAGTCCCCCATACGCCTTCATTGCGTAGTGCTTAATTAGTTTGCCTTACGTTATCTTACAATATTAAAGATATTTGCATAATTTTATTTTTCCATTCTGTCCTTCAGCTATGGTGACTAATTAAAAAGTTTACGTTATATAACGCCATAAATGTACTTATTCATGTATATTATAAAACTTTCTTTTAATATTGGTGGAATTCGGTGAGATATCTTAACATAATTTATAAAAATAATTTGTATTTTGGCCGTATTGGCCAGTTTAAAATCCTACTTTACTTGAGGCCACAAAAGGACATGTCTGCATATCGTCGTTAGTATGAGTAAGCTTCCTAAGTTTAGATTTTGATCATTTTATCTAATATAATTTTTCTGTCAGCCAAACCGATTATGTAGGACGAAGACAGAGAATTCATGAGCCTTAAACTCCATGCCCCTTACACACCTTTATTTAGTAGAGTTTCGTAGCCGTGCGAAGGTGATTGGTAGGAGGCAAACATTTGAAGCAAGGAAACTGTGGCGGAACTTGGTTGAATAACATTTAGTCAGTTTCCACCCCTGTGTCGTACGAACAAATGTTGCGAGGCAGCTGACATTGAAATTGTGCCTACTGTAAACCCTGACCGTGGCATTTCCATTTATCGGACTTCAACTTCAAGAAGCATTGCAATGCTGGAACCAGCACAACATATCAGATCAACCTGAGTCATTCTGACTCAACACAAGAAACTAGACTCACTTCACTTCAGTCGGACATTCCGTTCCCGTAATATAAGTACGTGTGTTCTAGAAAAGAGGCTTATGATATAACTTCTGCTTTCTTTCCTAACCGTGACGATGAGCATGGTAAAACAGCCTTAATTTAGACATATATGATAATATTCACGGGGCACGCGGTAGCATAGTTGGTTGAGGCACTGTGCTACAAGCTGGAAGTTCGCCGGTTCAATTCCCTATGAAGTCAATAGATTTCAAATTACACAATCCTTCAAGCTGCATTATGAACCTGGGATCAACTCAGCCTCTAACAGAAAGGAGTACCAGGAATCTTCCTGGGGGTAAAGGGCGGCCGGCGCGTAAGGCTGACAACCTCACCACCATCTGTGAGCCGATTGTCTAGAAAACATGGGAGCCTCGACGTCTCGCAACCCTATGGGCCTTCACGGCCTGTTACAGGAATAGCTTTACCGTTACCTTTTATGATAATAATCTTTGTGATAATCAAGGTTTACTATATTTTAATTCGGCACGACTAGTAATGCCTGAGACAACGTCCGGAAGCCTTTGAATTAGACTCATTTGTGCGGAAATTAACAGATATTAACTCTTCGTATTCTCAGGAGACTGTAGAAAATTACAGAATAAAGAGCTCTTTATTTATTAGTGTCGTGAGGTATAAGACAATTAGATGTGCGGTACTAGGAGTTGGGCGGTCAGCTTCAAACTCCTGTCGCTTAGCTTCCGGGGAAAGAGACCCAAGTGTTCAGAAGATAGTAGTCCGCCCGGGTCTTACAGTCAGTCAGGAAGCTGCTCCTGCCGAGCATCGAACACCAGTTCCTCGATCGTCCAGTCCGTACCTGAGTTATTGCACTGAGTGAGGAATATTAGCTCTTAATGATTAAAGAAAATGATTTTAATCATCACAAAATTATGACAAGTATTTAACAAAACGTTCATACAAGCATGGGAACTAACAACACTCTTCCTGTGCTCATGCCTGGAACCTGATTGGAGCAAGGGTCTGGCCTCTCAGTTTTCTGTAATGATTTATATGCGGAGCTCATGACGTCATTCTCAAAGTGTCCGTCCTGTACTGGTGGGGGGGGGGGTTCTTTAAGCAAACTGATACTAATTGCTTATTCATTACGACGGGGTTAGGAACTACTCTTCAACAGTTTCCATTATTTACCTTTCTGAAATCGCATAGTTATTATTTTATAAACGAAACGGTTGGCAATCTGGTGGTAATAGATTGTGTTTGCGGCATAAGCCTGGCTGTTGCCACCTAACAAAGAGACCACAACGAGGGACGCTATAGAAATAATTAAGGCCTACGAATAAAGTTTATATGTAAAATTATTGAGAATATTTAATAAGAAATCCTTTTTATATAAAAATAGGGGCGTCACTAATATTCCAGTGTTTGCGATTGGTTAGAAGAAAACTGAAACATATCCGATTTTCAGCCTTTTGGCCCGTTCCCTTTATCCTTTAAACGATTCAATTCATTTAATTTTCACGTGGTGACATGGGGCCTGAACTACATTTTCAAGAACAAAATTTAGTAACCTGTGATAAGTGTCACACCTGACACCTAACTCCGCTGAGTCGTGACCTTCTTGAGAAGCCAGCGGTCATTTAGCTACTCAAGAATATCCCACTATATTATGGAATGCGAAGGTTCATTACCGTGTTCACAAGAGCCCTCCAGTTCTCCCTACCCCGAATCAGTTGAGATTCACTGGCTACGATTTCTAATTGACACAAATAGAGGACAGACTATGTTTCGTGTTTTGGTATGTGGGTCGATTCCCGAATTGGCTAAATAAGGTCATGTCCGTTCCTATATACATCACGAAACCCGTATGAGTGTGTCCGAACGGTATCAGGTTCTTACTGACTAACACGAAATACAATAACACTGCACTGACCACAAGTCTCTTGTAGCTCCTCATGATACCTCCGGCTCCTCCAGTGCACGGGCGAAGTCGGGCGCTCTTCGCTGCAGCAACAGTTACATATGCGTAAATCGGCTGCAGCAGCCCTGGTTATATAGTCAGCCCCTGCTCGTCACTTCAGAAGATCTGGAAACAATTCGTTCAGAAATGGATAAAGAGAGAGATAGAGGAAGTGAGATTGAAACAAAAAGAAGACTGGGACGGTTGGAGGGAGGAGACCGTCGTCACGTACGCGAGTTTCACTTTCTCCGGTTTGTCGTCCACCCCCTCACTCAGAACAAGGTCTCCTCTGGCAAGGCCAAGGTACTCAGAGAGAAACCTTTTTAATTAAAAGTCTGTCAGGGACAGTTAAGGGAGACAGAGGTTTCAGGGAAACGAAGCAGCAGCGTAACAACTTTCGATGAAACTGGAGGATCCAGATAGGAGAAATGCTGCAGACTCAGTCATCATTGGAATATCGACACAGAGAAACTGTTCATGATCTTGTATGCCGAGCCTGTCATGCGACTACTTTCACACGGCTTGCGTGTCAAAAGTGTCGATCGAACACATTATGATGATACGTACTTGGCTGACCCCAGTATCAGCCTTCAGTTGCCTCGTTTCTGTTTGTACCTCCACAGAAATTCGCATGATTATCTCCAATATATTGTTTTACACGTAAACGTCGAAAACATTTTAGACGGAATAAGGCGCCCTTTACTCCTTTCCGCCTATGTAACTGCTGTTGTCCGTACCAGAACCCTGAACTTCCAACCCAGTATATGACGCTCTCAGAGTGACATATTTTCTGCTCAAACGGCTCTTCACACATGTTATTTCGTGGGATACTAATGCCTCCATGAAATATCTTCGCTCCCTTGGATGCTGGGATCGTGGGTTCAAATCCCGCTCAAGGTATGCGTTTATACTGTGTTCATATTGTCCTGTGTTTAAGTAACGGCCTAGCGGCGACTTGATCACTCGTCCGAGGAGTCCTACCTTCTGAGAAACATGATTAAGGAACCGAATAAGAGGCCTGGGGCCTGAATGTGCTGGAAGAGCCATTGAAAAAAACTAAGGACTCCAGTGCAGATTTGGAAGCATGCACCCCTCCTTCATATTGGAGAAGTTCCACTTTCAGTTCTAAATAATAATTGAAGGACTGGAACATCCTCTAAATTAAAAAAAAATTCCTGTTACATTTAGGCAAGGTATGTTTGTAGTCTGTCAACAAAAATTCAGTTTAGCTGATCGTTTGGAATACGTGCATCATGCTGATTGGCTGATGGTCACTGTATTGAAACCTAACGGAGTCAGCATCTTTATATTACTTGTAACTGTAAGTATTGCGACATATTTGCTCATAGCAAGAACTATTCAGAGAAACAGCCGTTGCTAGAGAACGGCTCTGAAAGAAAATTCTCGCGGCAAAGGATATCAAGCAAGAGTAGAGGTACTCTTGGAAATGGTGCTTTCTACTTGTTCCGTGCAAAGGGATTATAAGGAGGGCAATTGAAACAACATTGGACAAGACGAACCCCGACAAGAGGAAATATAAGGGGTTTAAACTTGACGGCGGTCAAGCCTACGACCGTTCAAGTGACTAGCTACACTGCTGTTGTAGCAGGAGCTACTAATGATAAGGCATGATCTGCTGTACTGGGCCTGGACTGACAAAATGCTGATTGTTAATACTGACAACAGACTTGTTACTGCTGACTGTGGCTATGGCAAACGGATAATAATTGCATTACGAGGCTACTAGAGGGGATAGATGGCGCACGATCTTGTTTCTCTTTTCGAAATCAGACAAGGTGGTGCAGAGAGGAGGAGTTTATCTTGAAGTCTTCATTTACAAATAATATGTTATACGTCAGATGTACGCGGGTTCAAACCCGGCGGAGGTCGTGGAATTTTTAAGGGCGGGAAAAATCAGGGAACAAGTCCTCCGGGAGGGACTTCAAGCCGTGGGTCCCGTGTCGTAGCTTTACGGCACGTAAAAGAACCTCATGCCTCAAGGAGGCCTCTGAGCCAAATCATAACGGACATTTCCCGCCCAACAGTAGTCTCTAACGCCTCTGGTAGATGGGGGAAGCATCTAGATACCGCTGAGCCAGTAGAGGCCGAACTCGCTGGCTGAGTCGGGACTGATGGTACGCACCAGTATCGGTAGGGTATAGAGACTGGTAGAATATCACAGGGGGACGTACAATAGACCACTGGTCGCGGTGCATGGGGAAACCCACCCCCTCCAATAATAATAATAATAGTAATAATAATAATAATAATATACGTCAGATTAAAGTATTTCTAAATAAAACAGTCTGGAACATCAGCTTGAACTTTTGGTATGCAAAATTAATGAAAAAGTAAAGAAAAATTGGACGGATATACCGAATATTTAGTTAAATGATTAAAATAAGACGTTTATATTTATTATTCTAAAGGCTTCTGAAGACGATATATAGTGACATTTCCACAGGCCTGCACGTTCGTGAGACATCTGTAGACCATTCGCTGCAGCCATGTTTAAGCCGTCTATTTCGTCCTTGAAGGAGGATGCGATACAGCGTCACAACTCAGAAGACTTTTTCAAATTCATCGCCGTTAGAACCTCAGATCTCGAAATGACGTAATTATTTATGTGTTACAGATCAAATTGCCTTTACAAGAACATTCGGATTGCTCTTGTAGTGACATTTGAAAGGTTATCCCCCGAGGCTCTGCAAAATGAGGAGCTTCATAACTTGAAATCTTCTCCAAGAATATTTAGAATAGCCAAGTAAAGGAGGATAAGATGGACATGGCATGTAGCACGAATGGGGGAGAATATGAATGCATATAGGATATTGGTGGAAAAGCCAGGGGGAAAGAGACCGCTAGGAAGACTAAAAGGTAAGTGGGTGAACAGTATTAAAATTTATCTTAAATAGATAAAATGGGATGGTATGGACTGGATTGATTCGGTTCAGGATAGGGACCAGTGGAGAGCTCTTGTGAACACAGTAACGAACATTCGGGTTCCATAAAATGCAGGAAAATTCTTGAGTAGCTGCACAATTTGCGGCTTCTCAAGAAGGGTTCAGCTCCATGAGTGAGTGAGTGATCCTCCGAGGTAATTCTTTCGACGAGGAAATACAGGGTGTGTCCTGGATCCGTTAGGACTCTTTTTTTTTATTTGTCCTGCAATGCCATCGGTTGGCGAGTTGTGGCATTAAGATTCTTGAAGTTTCAGCTGTGGCTGTCTATAATTTCAAGGCGCAAGCATGGCTGCATCATGTCTTCTGACCTTGAACGTAACAGTACTGTTCTGACTCTGGTCGGGAAATGGCGGTTGAACAGAACCAACATCAAATTTTGTTTGAAGTTAGGCAAAACAGCGGAGAAGCATACGAAATGATGGAAAGTGTATACGGTAGTGATTGTTTGAGTCGCTCGAAGGTATGCTGTATTTCGTGACGTCAAGGAGGATATTGAAGACGTTCCACGTGCATCACAGCCGAGAAAAAGTCGCACTGAAGAAAATGTGAAAAAAGTGACCGACAGATGTGTTCCTGCAAGACTCATTGAGGAGCTTTTAGGAATACCAAAAACTATTGTGTATCAAATTTTGACCGATGATTTGGGCAAACGGAAGGTCTGTGCGCAGTTTGTACCGCACGCGCTGTCAGGCGATGAAAAACATGCCAGAGTGGAACACTGCAAAGACCTATTACGGTCGGCCCAAAGTGATATAAAATTTACAAATTCGATTGTTACTGGTGACAAGACATGGTGTTTACAATATGAGCCTCTCACAAAGCGGCAGAGTGCAGCGTGGTTGAGCCCAAAGAAGCCGAAACCAAAGACAGTGCGCATGCAAAAGAGTCGAGTAAAGACACTGCTAACCGTTTTCTTCGATTCCAAAGGAATCATACACAAGGAATTT